CATCCAAATGTCTGAAAGCCAGATCATTAATCGATCAAGATTTAATCAAGCGTTGCCTCACACCCCCTTAAGTAAATATCAAACAGTGACCAAACAATCTTAGTCCACACAGACATTTCAAAAATAATCTCCATTGTAACAAGCCTGAACACACATATCATGGGTATGCATGTGTTGATGTAAACAGGAAGCAGTGTTTACTCGGTGATTGGTTGCCTTGTTGCAGAGTATACTACAGAGAAAGAACAACAATGGCAACGCAGGGCTGATAATGTTGCTGGACACAGGAAAAGTCACAAATCACTGGAATTATAGCTTGCCTCCTGCGCATGCCTGCAACAGTAGCATTATAAAATGCTGAATCTAATTTCACAGCAGCTGCTAGCAGGAAAGGACACATTGTGACTCATGAGACCCCATCAAGTATATGTGGGAGTTGGTGTTATCGCTTTGGTCTGGTCTCCCGCAGACAGAGGTGAGTAGAGTCTCACAACACACATGACTTGTTTGGGGGAGAGTCTGCGTGGTTGTTGGGGTTCGGCTGTGGTCAGCAAGATGTCACCACTACCCACTTAAGTGCAGGTGGTCTGGCCTAGAAGGTCTATCTCCTGCACGGCTTAGCATGGCACGACGTGTCTAAACTGACAGTGGAAACACAAATCACTGTGGTTTTACTCAGCGTGGACTAAAGTTACAATGGAAGAAAGAAGGTAAAAGGCAAACCCAGAGTTTTCAAACTAAAACAAGGTCAGCATGTGTTTTCAAAAGTCTATGGGGTTGGAAAAAAAACAAAATAGTGTGGACACTAGGTGTAAATGTAGCAAAAGTTTTGCATTTTCAATTAATATGTATTAGTGTGGATAAAGCCTGAGGGTACTTAGTGTTAGCTTCAGTTTTAGAGTCAATTATTTCAGTTTTAAATTTTTGTTTAAGTATCCCTCAGTAAGTAATGATTGTTCAACACTCCCCATCACTCCCCAAGTCTTTGTCATACCAGTGTGTACATGTGAAAAGTTACACATCTACAGGACAAGGCCAAAAAAAATTAAATTGGGAGAAATTTAGCTTGGAATGCTAGATTTCTCCAGTTTTTTACTCCAGGTACAGACACAAGATTTTTAAGAAATCACATTATTGCAGAAAGGGAAACAAAAGTATGTTCCCTCTTTTCATAGCTTTTTTCTCTGCCTCACATTCAGATGATGCAAAGGGAACTCGTTCCAACATCAGAGGTTTCCCCTCATTTTTCCCTCTTTTGAACTTCCTCCCCCTCACATTACATTCATTTCATTCCAACACAAGTTCTTCCTCTCATTTCCCCTCTTTGAATCTCTTATTTCCTCGTAACATTCATTCCTCTGCAGAGGGAGTTTCTTCTTGTGCTGTAATCACAGGCTGGAGGACCAAAGCAGCTCAACCACATCTGAGGTTCCTCTGGGGTCAATCACAGGTCCTGTTTATTTTGTTTTAAAAGCTCAGTTCAAAGCTGGAAGCCATTGAGTTCGTTGTCGGCAACAACAACAAAGCTTTTGTTTCCACTCATAATAAAGCTGGTTTTAGTACAATGAATCAGACTGGAACGACTTGTTCTAGAAGCAGAGGACTTGTTTTGGTGTTTATTTGTGGTTCTTTGCAGCTCAGTGGGTAGAGCGGAGCAATAACACTGACATATAACCCCTCATTAATACAATTAAGCTGATTAGTTTATTTGTCAGTTACTTGATGAAGAGAAAATTGCATAACATTTTTAATCAACAGCTGACATCATTTATTGAGCAACATGAGTCTACAGCCATGCTAGCAGCTCTGTGAGACTGTACTCAGGCACTGGGCTTGGGCTATATCACGGTATACCTGGGTGTTTAGAAATCCTGATTGCAAGATTTTTGAATACAGATGCTCCTCTTTCAAAAAATATTTTAAGGGCTTTTGGCCTTATTACAGAATTGCTAGAGAGAGACAGGAAAGAAGGAGAGAGAATGGGGGTAACATGCAGCAAAGGGCCCAAGGTTGGTATTGAACCCCAGTTGCCGCAAAGGATCTATGTAAGGCAAGCATTCTACCTATTGAGCTAAAAGTCACCCCAGTTAAATGGACAGAGAGGTGCTCTACTGAGGTAATTTATTGTAGTGCACATAACGTTTCCGAAACAGTAATGGCCAAAAATAGCAGAGAGAGACTGCAGGCAAAAACAGCATATTTTCACATATGACACTGGTACTGGTGTTAAGACGAACTACGATGGTTTTGTTTTGTTTCCTGTTGAGTCTGAAGTGCGTTTTATGATGTGTTAAAAATGCAGTTAAGCTACTTTAAGTTCGTTTAAAGAAAGAAACTTGAGTTCACAAGGCATACGGTTGTATTTCTCTGTTAAAAGCCTCCTACAGACTGTGAGATTTTAGCTATATCATAAGTTTAGTGCAGCTACGCTGTGCGACCTGGATCTAATAAACTTGGGTACGACATCAGTTCTGATGTATGCAGAGTGCTGCTGCACAGGTTATTACTTCTCCAACTGCGGAGCACAACACAGAGGGTCACACTATTAAATAACCTAAAGTTTTGTGGGCACTATATACTGCGGTGTGTCTGTGTGTGTGTTTGCTAGCTGCTAGATTGCTCATCTTGCAGCTGCAACTCTCTATTTCCTTCCATGCTTTGTCCTTCTTTACGCGATCATGATAAGAGCTGGAGGACACATCACACAGGCAAGGCTTCTGCTGCCACAACTCCACAAGGTTTTCCTCTTTGCTGGAATCACACACATTTCTTTTAGCATGTTTTGCCTCCATGGGGAGCTGCTATCCGTCTGTTTGTTTGGGTTTAGTGCCAGTGTCTCACTGAATGCTGCATTTCTATTAGTTGGGTAGTAGACGTAGTTGGTAGCAGCAGTCACACAGTGAGACGGTCATTCCAGATTTCTGACACTGTCAGAATTTTATCCCAGGCTGCCTTCAATCGCAAAACCGTGACAACGGCCATCCTTGAACCTCTCTCACTGTGCAACATTGGACCACCTGTTTAGAGCCCGACTAAAGATATTGCCACGTTCCATTCACAATGTTCATTTTTCGTCTGGGACAGCCTAAAATCGCAGAGTGTATACCAGGCTTAATGAGGAAAATCAACCCAATAGCCAGAAAAAAAAAAGTTGGCATTGTATGTTTCTGCAAACCACTTATATGTGTTAAAATTGTACCTGAGTACATAGTGGATACTTTGAAAGTTTACATTGCAAAGCTGTGATTAGGACTAGGCACAAAAACCAGTTGGATGTTGTTAGAAAAAGATCACGTTTAGGCAGAAAATACCCAGTTTTGGTTGCACAGTCAGGACCAGAGAAGCTGCTGATGTCTAGGTTAAAAACAACTGCTTTCAGTGGCACTATCCCCGCTGGAAAAACAGTGACAGTGGATACAAACATTCAGAAATACTCATTCTGAGTGTCGGAGCGTACTCAGGCACAAACTAGACTGTTCATAAATTCGGAGTGCTGTCTGAATGTACTGCTCAGTTATCCAGAGCACCGCATTTTGGGAGTGGCAGAGCGCAGTGTGAGCACTCTGTCTGGGGAGACGGAGCAGCAGAGTGCCGAGCAGAGTGAATGTGTGATTAAATTAAATGTTGGTTAATTCATGTAGAAACATAACGCTCCATTTCTACGACCAACATGGACATGATAACCCTTAATACACATAAAGTTATTCATCCCTACAACAGGAAATACTTTTTCCCTGACCTGTGTGTGCTGCACGTACGAGCATTTTTGATGATGGCCTCCATCCAGTCCTTTCGTCTTATCACATTTAACCATAGTTGTCTTTGTTTTTGTTGATGGACAGTGGCGGCTGGTTTTGAGCCATGACTCCTTCTATTCTGGCTCCCAATAACACAACAAGATCACATTTAAAGACTCCTATGTAGCCTACAGCCCTGTGGTGGAGAGGCAGGTTTGGCCTCCAGCTAATAAAATGACATAATTGTGACGTCGGCCCTAAAAGGATGTATTACTATCTTTGTTTAGTCTGTTAGCATGCTAACATTTGCAAATTGGGGTTACATTCAGTTGGAGACATATATATGTATAACAAAGTTCACAGCAAGCCATCCAGTAGTTGTTGAGATATTTCAATCTGGCACAAATTGGTGGATGCACCAAATGACACGCCATCCCAAGAGCTGCCAGCGTGGCTAAGAATAAGAAACAGTTTTTGGTTTGAGTTTGTTTGATGTGAAGGTTTTCTGGATTTTTTTTCTTTAAATCATTGTTAATTAAATATCTTTGAGTTAACAGTTGAAAACTTGTCGTAGCTCTCTGGGGTATGTAGAAACTGTAAATGGCCCCTGACAAATCTCTAGCATTCCTATACTGACACTTACAGATAAATTTGTGATAAAGATAATATTATTGCTTTGTCTGTATGATCCTCTGTGTTTCCAGATTTTTGTTGTGTAGTGTGTCAGTCACCCTGCTGTGTGTTGTTGTGGTTGGATTATGTCACACATTTTCCACAAAACAAGCTGAGGAAATCTTTTCCTTTGAGGACTCTTGTTTAGTGTGACTCTGCTCTTTGATATGTTCAGACTTCAGTTCTATGAGTCACACAAACATCCAAACAACGTGGGAACATATTTCAGCTGACCAAAGAGGGCTGGATCTGATTTTGGCAGAGCAGATAAGTGAGAGAGTGCTTAACGTGTTAGAGAAACAGAAGTGTCTCTTCTGTCTGGCAGGATGACACAAAACCAGCAGAACTTTGTGTCTTGTTTAATCTCTCTGTTGATACATTTATATATTATAATATCAAATATATATATTTTGATATTCATGTCTCAATTATGGTTTTGTTTAAACCAAACAAGACTAAAGACTGGGGGAACTGTTCTAAAGTACAGATACTTGAGGATGAAGAGACACGTAAACACTGAAAAGCTTCCAAACAAACAAAAGAATAATTGTTTACAATGGACAAGAGCAAAGAAGCAAGAAAGTGACTTACCAAATACATCAGCTGGATAGAGCAGAGCATGATGGGGCACCACAGAAAATGAAGGCAGGTCATTGGTAAAAGAAAAAAACAAACAAACATGATATAACTTTATAAACCACTTCAAAGGTGGAAGAAGTGACTGTGCCGTCAAATCTATAATAATACATCTTCAATTATTATTAACTTCATTTAGTTTTAATGATCTGAATCTTTCAAATAACTAAAGCTGGTCAATAAATGTAGTGGAGTGGAAGTAAAAAGCAGCATAAAATGGAAATACAACAAAACTGTACTTAACTACTTAGTTAGGGACTGTTTATTTATGAGAGGGGTGGTACAAAATGGGGGTGTCATGTCAAACACTTTTTAAGACACTAGGGGGAGACTTATGTATTTATTCAGACTCAGAGGAGGGACATCTTTTTATTGGTTGTACAGTATAACAGCCTACAAATGCCAAAACCTGCCAACAGATTTGAAAGGCAGCTTAGCCTATGTAGCCCTCTCCTACAGTATGAACCATGCAGATCTCTCAGGTCCTTTGGGGGAGGTCTACTTTGTGTCCCCAGAGTCAAAACTAAACATGGAGAAGCAGTGTTATGTTTTTATGCACCACAAATCTGGAACAAACTCGCAGAACACTGCAGGTCTGCACCAACTCTCAGTTCTTTTCTGTTTGTTGCAGTCTTTTATTATTGATTATTGATTGATTATTATTATTATTATTGATTATTAAATCAAATACTTTTAAAGATTAAAGATTAAAGCTCCACTGATTGTCACACACCTGAGTGTGTGAAATTTGTTCTCCGCATTTGACCCATCCCCTGAGGGAGCGGTGAGCAGCAGCGGTGCTGCGCTCGGGAATCATGTGGTGATCTATTTATTCTGATTTATTCTTGTATCATATACCTGGCTCATTCTTGATTTTATTTTCTATTCTCTTAAATGGCACCTTTTATTGTATTTAAATGTTCTTTCATAATGTGTTTCTTTTGCACTTTGTCTTTATGTTATTGATGTTTTATGTAGAGCACTGTGAATTGCCTTGTTGCCTGATTGTGCTATATAAATAAACCAAAAAATAAAATAAAAATCACAAAAAATTGCACCATTTACCATAGACAGAAACCAGGCATGTGCACAGATAGACCCCAGGTGGTGCTTGAGCACCTGCCCTTTTTGCAAGACATGTTTTTTCTATTTCTTTTAATATTCTTTTATTTTATTTTTTAAATTTGGCCAATTGCATCAATTGAGTCTCAATTAAGTCTATTGTTTGCCCAACAACTGCATTTTTGTTGAGCCACTGCTCCAACCTCTACAAATCAAGTGCCCTGCAGAGCAGCATCATGTCTTCCTGACCTGCCTTCATGGACAGCCAGGTAACGAAAGTGTTTGCCCTAAGCCTCAGCATTGTTTGTCACTGTTGTGAAATTAAACCGCTATTAAAACATCTCAATACAGCCAGACTAACTTAGGCAATAACCCACCTTTAAGTTTAACAACAAGTAAGCTAGGCTGAGGTAAAACCACACTGTCTACGTCCAGCTCTCTGCCAGATTCGGGTTCACCAACTGCCCATTTTGAGTGGAGACAGACACCGAATAACTTTCCCACTTCTGCATGTTTTTTTAAACCAAAACTCAGTTTGAAATAATGTTTGCATCTCCCACATTGCGTCATTCCTAATTAATTTGCAGAGGAAAAGAGGAGTGAGGGGTGCATGTTTCTGTTCTCTGGGATTCTTAAACAATATTTAAAGCTTATTTAGAAGATAATTATAAGAATGAGTACATGCCTATTTAAAAAAGAAAGGAGAAGAGAATGAGGAGAGGAGAATTTTAGCTTTTGCTCATCAAAGGGTACGTACGCACTCCTTCTGTGCTGTTTGCACATTGCTCCACCTCCAACACTGACATTTGGTGTGAATATTAATAAATATGGTTATTTATGGTGGAGGGAGGGTCTCTCATTTCCACTGGTCTTTCAGGAAGGCTCAAGGAAAAGTATTTGTAACTCTGGGGAGGGTCAGGGTGAGAAAAAGTTCACAAAGTCACACCCCAAACACCCTCACTCTTCTGATAATGAACAGTCCCTTACATTCCACCACTGCATCTCTTCGTTATGTCACTGAAATACCATCACTGATTTATTTATTTATCCCATGAAGACCACAATAATACCACCATTCACCACATCAACACCACTGATCATTAAAATATGACAAACCATTCCCAGCTTTCCAGCTCTTTCAAAACAGCTTGTTATTACAAACGCCACTGTGAAGTTTCTTCAACTTGATAATAATCTCTCATCAGTGACCAAACAGACATTACAAACCTTTCTTTGCCTTCTTCTGCAGCTTCAGAGTGTCAGAAGATCTCTTCTTGATTTCCTGACGGGCCTTCTTATACTCTGCAGAGAAACACACACATGCACGCATACAGATAGAGAACACAGTGTGAAACATGCAAAGAAACTGTATGGACATATTTTAGGTCAGTTTCCCAATGATATGTAACAAATATCCACACAGTTAGAGGGTCGATGAACATGAACCCACACAGACACATGACACACATCACTGCATATACATACATGCATACTTTCAACATATTGTACCACAGTAGCCAGAACTATAACTATAATATTATTACTTTCAATAATGTTGTTGTAAGCTACTGTCATTACCTGCATCTCTCTCTCTCTCTCTCTCTCTCTCTCTCTCTCTCTCTCTGTCTCATTGTGTCATACGGATTACTGTTAATTTATTATGCTGATCTGTTCTGTACGACATCTATTGCTTGTCTGGGTTAGGGTTAGGGTTAGGGTTAGGGTTTTTTTTTCCCCGGTAAAGGTTTTTTTTGGGGGAGTTTTTCCTTATCTGCTGCGAGGGTCATAAGGACAGAGGGATGTCGTATGCTGTAAAGCCCTGTGAGGCAAACTGTGATTTGTGATATTGGGCTTTATAAATAAAATTGATTGAATTAAACTGATTGATTATGGTGTCTGTGCTTTACAGTGTTTCTGTGTTTGTGTACCTTTGGCGTGGTCTTTATCCAGAGTGTTGGCTACTCTCTTCCACTCTTCCATCTGCTCCTGTAGAGGGTTAATCAGACAGTCCAGAAACACCCTGAGAACACACACACACACACACAATATATATATATATATATATAAAAAAAACGTCCACGAGACATTAACGTCAGGGTTAAGGTTTAAGGTTAAAGATTACAGTATGATAAGGTTGGACTACTCGCCGAGGATGTAGAGCATTGTGCACGTGCACAAGTAAAATAATATAAATCTCCTCAAATGATCTTAAAATCTTCCAAAAATAATTTCTAAAATATCTTAAGGTTAGCTTAAAATAAGGTCAGACAGATCATGCATTGGCCTGAGTCTTGTTGGGGAGTGTGCAGCATAAAAAAGGAAAAGACACGGCTCAGGCATGAAACAACAGTCGACTCCCCACATTGTTTCTTAGGCTAAAATAAAATGTAATCTATATATTATCTCCAGGTGTAAGCCTGGAAGGGATCATGCTTGATCACGTGTATGTATGTGAATGTGTGTATCTGTCTGTCTGCAGCTAATCTTGCAAACTACTGGACCAATCAGCCTTACATTTTGTGTGCACATGTATAACTGTATACTCAAGGGCCTCTAATGGTTGTGGCTGGGTTTGGGTGGCATCATGATATTACAGTATACCAGGTAAATCTCAACAAATTTGCATGTGGTGCACATCACGCACCTCCAGAGGTCAGTGTGGTGCAACAGGCAGCTGAACTGACTGTGAGTGGTGGAGATGTAAACAGCCAGAGGCAACAGCAGAGAGGATAGAGACACTACAGGGAAAACAGCTCATATTCCCATCTAACCACAAGTATCATCATATCCCGTATACCCTGGTGAAATTCAGGAAAGTATGAAAAATTAGGTTCAGTCCAAGCCTACAGTAGTTGCATTTTTTTAAGTAACTGTTTCATATCATCACTGACTGCTCAGGGGCTGGGAGTTTTCCAGAAATCGGCTTGGGTAAAATAAAAATTGTAAATTAATATAAATATAAATATAAAAAAATGTTGCAGGCCGCATTTAGGCCTTCATCATGGCTTACAAACTGACATCCATAGAAAAGTTTGGTCTCATTTTGAAGTGGAGCATTGACAAATTAATTTTATACCTAATATGTTGTGATCCACTAGGGTTAGGCACAATATGGGATGACATTTTTTTGGCTTAACTTTTAATTTGCCAGCTTCACTGCCATGTGTACTGTTATGGAGCTGGGAGGAACATTTACACCAGGTGCATCTGCGCCACAGTCCGGCCGCAACCCTGTTTTGTTTCATCAGCTGCCCGGCGTCATACCACAGTGGCCGTTTCAGAAACAGAGCATTTTGCCTGCATCATTTTGTAGACTTGCTGATTTTATTGATTTGGTCATTTTTGGTTGATAATTGTGCTTCTACAATCAGTAAGTAAGCAGACTATGTAGTTTAAAGGTTTATTTTTTCGTCTGTTTTGTGTTTATTGTTCTTATTTCCTACTTTGTTGTGCTGCAGTTTAAAGCCAAGTAACAATCTGCAGATTGTCTTTCTGATTGGATCATGAGATCTTATGTGGCGCAGGTGTAGCAGAATTTCAGGACCCTGAACACATCGTTGCACGACATTTCAGAATAAGAGTCACTTTATTTATCTTCATTTGGTAACTTTAGATGAGCTGCTGCCTTATTTATTTAAACTATGCAATCAGAACACACTACACTGTGTATGTGTGTGTGTGTGTGTGTGTGTGCTTGTTCTTGCTACATAGTGACAACGTGTTTATAAGCAACACAGTGAGGACTTTTTGGAAAGTGAGGACATTTTTGCTGGCTATTCAAAGGCCTTTTTGAGGGTTAAGACTTGGTGTTCAGGTTAGAATTGGTTTTAGGTGAGGGTAAGGGGCTAGGGAACGCACTTTGTCAAAATCTGTGGCTGTGTTTAAGTTATATAAAATACATTAATTCCCACAACTAAATGGTATCTTCTGAAATGCGCTGTGGCACGTCTTCTAGAAGTACAAGAATTGCCAAGAGTGGCTGTGATGCTGAGTGCACTTTTTTAGTTACATTTAAAATCCTCCTGAAAATAATCAGATTATTTCTTTAAATGCTCTAACCATACTTAAATTAATTTTTGCAGGTTCATTATCAATTAATCTGTCTAATGTTTTCTCGATTAATTGTTGGATTTACAGAATGTCAGAAAATGGAAACATTCCCATCAGTTTCCCAGAGCCTGAGGTCTTGTTTTGTCCAATCAGCAGTCCAAAACCTGAAGCTATATATTTAGTTTGCAATGATATGAAAGAGAGAAAAGCAGCACATTGACTGTGCTCTGTGGTGAGAGATGGATGGATGTTTGCATGTGAAAATGCATCATATAACTAGCATCCAGAGGTACTATATCTCTGTTTACTGACTCAGCTGGAGTTCTCATCTTCTCATTCCAGTCTGACAAACTCTCTCCTCCATATTGGGAGAGTTAATGGACTCATGCAGAGAAAGGAAGATGAAGAAGAGGCAGAGGAGGAGGATGGAGTGGTTTTAGGCTCTAGGAAAGACAGATGATGCTGAAGGACTCAGAGAACATGCAGCATGAGCGTCAGAGACTGAACAGGGAGAGACAGAGGATGGAAAGCTGAAGCAGGAGGGAGAGGAGGAGCAGGTTGCCATAGAGAGATGGGAGGAGATGCTACACCTGTTCAACACACACAAACACACACACACAGATCTGCTCACATGGAGAACTGGCGGAGCTTGGCCTCGATACTGCGGTGCCTCATGCACATCCTGGTGAGGGCTGAGCCGATGTCTCTGGTCCCTCCTGAAAACAAACAAAGAGACACAATCTGTCAGTCAAATGTGTCAAACTGTGGCTGCAGATCACTAGCCTGGTGAAACCATCCTGATCATGCGAGCTCATATTCGATTTTGCTCTGCAGATCAGTCTGGCCATGCAATCATAAAGGCGCATTCTGGCATCGGTTAAAGCTTACCGGGCCAATCACAACCATTTATTACTTTTGGGCGGGCACGTCATCAGAATAGGAGGGACAAGGAGTGGAGTGAATGCATTTTGTAAACAACCAACATGGCTACTGATTTTGAAACTGCGATGGTAAACGTATTGAACGAACTGGAATGTACATTTTCTTTAAAAGCAGAGCAAATGGCTGCACTGAAAGCTTTTATTGAAAAAAAGAATGTGTTTGCCGTCCTTCCTACGGGTTTGGTAAAAGTTTAATTTACCAACTGGCTCTGTTGATCGGGAAAAAGATGGGACTCAGTGAAAACCCAGCGGCTATTGTTGTTTCTCCGCTAGTTGATTTGGGAGCAGGTCAGGGAAACGACCAAGCTGGGAATCACAGCCATGCAACTCGGAGTCCACAGTGAGGAGGAGGAAATCCACAAAGATGGCAACACTCTTTCCCATACATCATCACAGCTCATCTCTGCTGCACGCTGTACTTGCTTGCTGCTCTGTTTACAGTGGCGTTGTGCATCACACGTTTCGTTAACTCTGATTGGTTTTCCGTCTTTCCAATTGCATGAAGGGGCACTTTGAGTGACAGCCGTTGATACCGCCCCTCTGTAATAGAGGAAATTTACACTCCTTGTCCAGACCCATTCGAGTTTTGCAGCTTCAAGTGTGAATCATAGTGTGTCCCCCCACCTTACTCTCCGCCACAACAGACCACATCACTGGGAGGAGAGCAGGCAGCAGCTCTGGAGACATACCAGACAAGACAAACTTTCTGGTGCTGCCGGTACACAGGCTAGACCCTGCACTGATGCTGGATACCCGATGATGGGGGAATTGTACTGGCATATTACAGCTGCTTCAGCCACTGACTGAAACTCTGTCTCCAGGGCTGCTGCCCGCTGGGAGAGCAGTCCACCACAGCGGGGAGCAAGGCAGAGGGATCGTGGGGAGGCAAGTAGCTAATTATTTTCTCATTTGTGGTCTGATAAACAGAGCTCTACGATGAAACAAGATTAAAAAAATGAATGTACAGGAAACACTGGGGGTGGCACAGTGGTGTAATGGTTAGCACTGTTGCCTCACAGCAACAGGATACCTGGTTCAATCCTAAGAGGGAGCTCTTCTGTGTGGGGTTTTCTCCGGGTACTCCGGCTTCCTCCCACAGTCCAAAGACATGCAGGTTGGGGATAGGTTAACTCTAATTTCTCTCTAAATTGCCCGCAGGTGTAAATGTGAGTGTGAATGGTTGTCTGTCTCTGTTGGTGTGTTTCAAATCACATACTTCCGTTAGTATACTTCTATGTAGTATACTATGTGCACTATGTACTCATTGGCGTTGTGCGCAAATTTCGACAGGGTAGTGTTGTCTCAAACCACACACGGTTTGCGGTACCAAATCATTACAGACTGCTAAATTAACCCAATAAACATACTGCTGGCTTATACCCGACAACAGTATAGTGGTGCTTAGTGCAAAAAACTCATGTATTTGTACAATGCAGCGACGTTCTTGGTCGCACAATCCTCGGTCGCTATTTCCAGTTTGAAAAGTGGTCCCTCCCCTTCCGCTATGTAGCCAAGATGGCAACCACTGAGGGTGAGAAGTGTCCATAGTTCCACACTCAACTTTTTGACCGTTTTGAGTGCACCATCCGGGTACTCATAGTGCAGTGCATTTTTCCATACTTCTCAGTGTGAACGCACTTATGCACTCAAAATATTAAGTGTAAGTACAGAGTACGCAATTTGAGACACCGCATATGTGTCAGCCCTGCGATAGTCTGGCGACCTGTCCAGGGTGTACCCCGCCTCTTGCCCGATGTCAGCCTGGATAGGCACCAGCCCCCCTACGACCCTCAAGAGGACAAGTGGTTACAAAAATGGATGGATGGATGGAAGGGAAACACTTGGTTACTGTATGAAGCATGTGCATAAGCCTGTGGTCATATGGTGCGGAGGGGCTTAGGACAGACAGGTAAGGGCTGCAGGAGGAAAGTGTATTTTCACATTCTGTCATTTTTATGCCTTTTCCACATCCCTGCCAACCACAGCTTCACAAGTGCTGTACTATATTAGCTAATAATTATAATTATCGGTTTAAATAGCCATTAATCAGGTGGACTCAACAGAAAATACTGTAAACAAGCCTTTTTTTTTTAGTTGTTGAGGAGATTATTTTGATGACAGATTTGAATAGAAATGTTTTGGTTGTCTGAAGTGTAACTTGGCAGACTGATGACCATCTGAGACTTTGGCTGCAGGAAAATAAGAGGACACAGGAGAAACAACGTGCTACAAGAAGGTTTGCTAACTTTCTGTTGAAGTGCAGAGCTCCTCTGAGTTGATCTCCAGACCTGCAGCCCTGCTGCTGATATGGATTCTGAGTGTGTCTCTTGCTCAAGGACACTCCAGCAGGGTGGAGATGAGCCTGTTTGACAGCTGATTGAAGCAGAAGCTCCACAGGCACCCAAAGGGGCCAGATGGTCGTCCTCTCTCCCCCTCAGACAGAACACTCCCTCCTGGGGGAAAGTTCACCAGACCTCAGCCTGTCAGCCTGGAGATCCAACGCCAGTGCCAACACTCACACATGCTAATGTTTGTGTTAGTGAAGACCTGCAATAACAACCTTTCAACTTCATACAAAAACACAGTTTTAAAGAAAAATACGGGATTTAGCAAGTTATACTTTCTCTTATTAATATCTGACAACACATCTTATTTTACGGATAACTTATAGATGCTTACTCTTTCAGGAGTTAAACTTTTAGGGCTGTAGAGTGCATTACATCAATGAAGGGTCCCCATAAGTGTAGTATACATGTGAGTGTGTGTGTCTGGGGTGGGGTAGTGAGCACTGCATTGCACCACTGACACCTCTTTCTCTCCTATGCTCTTCCCTCTCTCCAAATGTCCTCCTCTTCCTCTCTCTCTCTCTCTCTCACACGTTTCCCTCTAACCAAATCTCTGCTTTTCTTTCCTCTCCTCTCTTCAGACTCCTGAGAGCCTTAAAAAAGCTACAGAATCTCAGAGTTACTCTTCCTCACGGCGCAAAAAGGCCAAACTTCAATAGTGATATAACATTACTATAAATGAGGCCAGGATTGTTGATCAAGGACTCAGACAAAACAAAAGTTTGTGTGACCAGTGTCTGAAAATATTTCAGGTACAAATACTAAAGTCAAACACCAGGATCTGTTTGCTTATTCCAGACATCACTGTGGTGAGATTTTATTTCCATGTTGCTGCTCTAGCATCCTGCCCAGCTCTATCAGAAGAGCATGTAGATCATGTATTTTACATTTGGTGTTGTGTTGGTCCTATCCTTAGAGATAGGGTTAGGAGCTCAGAAATCCAAGGAGAGCTTGGAGTAGAGTCGCTGCTCCTTTGCGTTCAATGGGGCCCGATGCAGTGGTTTGGGCATCTGATCAGGATCCTCCTGGGCACCTCCCATTAGAGGTGTTCCGGGAACATCCCATTGGTAGGAGGCCCTGGGTAGACCCAGAAAATGCTGGAGGGATTATATTATATCTTATCTGGCCTGGGAACACCTTGGGGTTCCCCAGGAGGTGCTGGAAAGTGTTGCTGGGGAGAGGGACGTCTGGGGTTCTTTGCTTGGCTTGCTGCCCCCACGAACGAACCCCAGATAAGCAGTTGAAAATGGATGGATGGGTTCCAGGATTAATTAACGTGATAGACCTACTTATAACCAACAGGTATGCATATGCTCTTTATACCACAGTAAAATACCATGTCTTCCCTGTGGGATGGGAGGAGAAACAATCTACTGATAATCTATTGTGCGATAAGTGTGAATGTTTAGCGGGTGGAGGCAAGAGCTGACACACACTCTGCGGGAATGTGCTGGAATAAACTCCCACACTACGGGAGTGGGGGGGTAATGGTCTGAAATCCAGCAGGAGCAGGCAGGAGTGGGATTAGGAAAACAGTCCAGCACAGGGCTCTACTGAGTTTTTTGACCCATTATTCTCCAGGCCCCTGGATCTGTTCCTGGTCTGCTGTCTCAGCAATGCGATGATGCTTCAAGCTGTAACAGACCCCACTTAACACCTGACGCACAGCACAACTGCTAGTGCTAGTTCCTGACCGACGCAGTTGTCATTTTCACAGCAAACGCCCACATAGTGTAAAAGGCAAATGTACATGCACCCATCTGTGCGCCCATGGGCATGAAGGTCTTAAAGGAAGTGTGGTCAGGTGCACTGTTGTCATGTTGCTATTTTTAGGCAACAAAAAGTGATTGATCCATAGACCAACAAAAACCTATCAGAAGTCAGAATGGCACAGTATTTTCTTGCTATTATTCAGATGGTAAGATGTGCCAACAGAGGCAGGTTTACAATGCCTTGTTACACACACAGGGGCAAGCTGATGGGTTGCAGGTAGCATGGGCGTGGATTTTGGGAGGGACACAGAGGGTATGTACCCCTAAATATTTTGAATATGTGTACTTCCAAACATGAAACCAGCAGAGGACTTATATTTTGAAGGAATTAAAGACATGCCCACAGTAAATTGATCCAGAACGGGCAACAATGCATGCATAAAAAACTCACCAGAATGCTGTAAAATTAGTGTTTGATGCTCAACATTTTGTGGAGGAGAACCCCACACCCATGGTTTCATACGTATGCTCCCCTCAATGGTTTGCATACTTTCATCTACAAAAACATTAATTGCCCATCACTTACACCTCAGAGCGCTGCTATCCTTGTTCATTCTTTAGGTACATCTTGTGTTGATTATTGCAGTTCTGTACTCTTTGGTCTCGTTCTCAAGTGTCTTCAGAAACTCCAATTGGTCCAGAACTCAGTTCCAATTAG